TTTGGAAACAGAGAACAATTCTTTTTCCTCCTGCCCTTGCAGCAGTGTTATTGTTACACCTTTCACTTGTCCTTAAAGAGATCCTCCAAGTTTGTTCTGAACTGTTACTTTGTACTGGTTCCTTCCTATTTTGCCGTTTCTCCTGAAGCTGTAATGACTCTATAGAGAGAAAGAATTCTCAGTGGCTGGCCATATAAATTGCTAAATTATGAGCCTGTATATTCATGACTCCATACAGTTTACATAGTTTGCATGGAGCTATTACTTTTAAATGATTAATGCTCTTCAACAGCTTCTTATATTTTTCTTCTTGTTTATTTATTATTATTATTTTTTTTAATCTACATTACATTGATTTTCTTGCATAGTCTGATATGGTATGAAACCTAAAGAGATCCCAGACACTAAGTCCCTACAGTCTTCTATTCTAAGGTCTCTAAAAAGGTCCAAGAATGTCAGGTGTCTAAGATTTCCATCAGTATTAAGATTTTAACTCCACTAGATAATCCTAATATAAATGATTAATTCAGCCTTGTTCATTAGTCCACTAAGGTAACCACTCCCACCATTCATTATAACATAATTTTAGACAAGAGGATTAAGACCTTCAGTAGCACAGATTAATTCACAGGAAGACAAAGTGGATAGTTTTTGCAAAGAGGCAACAAATAATAATTTGTAGTATAAGATCTTACTTCTGGAGATGATTTATTTCAACTCTCTGTACCAGAAAGGAGAGCACTATGTTCTGTGAATGTGCTGAATAAGAAATTCTCCCTAAAAACACAGCATAATATACAAATAAACACTTTGCCATGGGAAGATAACAGAAGGAAGGTGTTGAGACTTGTCTAAAGCCACACAGGGTGTTAGTGTCACAGTCCAGATTAGGATTTTGCAAATCACTCATCATTTCCCTCACTTGACCTGGTATCCGGGTGTTACTCAGAGAATCACAAAGAATCCTGACAAGTTTTACCTTTGTTCCTGTCACTGGCACTGAAGTAGGATCTGAGAACACATGCATAGAATTAAGATTCTAGCCCAGCATCTTTTCCTTCAACAGATAACTGAAGACAAAAGTAATCTGGTTGAAAGGTACAAAAAAAAAAAAAAAAAAAAAAAAAAAAGGTAGCATATATTCTGTGTGACTGCAAAATAAATTGAGACAGGTAGGTCTGCTAAGAAATAAATACAAGCAGGGAGGTGGTCCTGACACGTTACTGCTACCATCCAGGTGTTTTTTTGGTTTGGTTTGGTTTGGTTTGGTTTTTGGACAGAAAATGGAGTGTGAAGTAGATCTCCAGGACCTATCAGAAAAAGGAAGAGCATCAGTAATTCTGTCCATAGCTCTTGGAGAAATTTCGTCTGTGATCCCCAGCTATGCATAGGTCAGAAAAACTATTTATTATTATTATTTATATATATATATATATATAGCATATATAGCATATATGACAGTGTTTTTATATAAGATATCAACTTTCATTGCAAGTCTTGCTTGAAAATCATTGTAGTGACTGACTGTGATAATCTTTCCATGCTTGTCATAAAAAGACAAATTATGTAGATGAAGTGCTAAACCAAAAGATAAAGCTAGACATTCAAATCACATGTTCTATTCTCTGCATGAACATTACTCTCCTGTCAACAGGATCCAGAATCTGCCTGGTATAATAAGCACCCTGGAGCTAGCTAGTGTGATCATCATATCAATTTACCAGTACATGTACAGTCCCTGTCTCTGATAACACTCTTGTTTCTGGGACATTTGTGCCTTGGTTGCCCTTCAGGTAGATGTAATGACCTAAGCTTCATTGTAACAGAAGGATATGGAAAATTGATTCTGGGATCATTTATTTATTTTCTTTCTTTTTTTTTTTTTTTTTTTTCTAGTTACTTTCTTTAGGAATTTTGTGCCAGATAAAATAACAAAGATAAGGACTTCTTAAATGAAGGATCATACCCACACACTTTTACAGTCAGATCCCATACCATTCCTAGAATCCCTGAAAAGAATTACAAATAGGGCATAGAAAGATAAAGTAAAACTTATAGAGCATTTCTGTCCTTCATAATTCTTATCATTCCTAAAAGTCTGTGGATTTTGATCTCTGTCTTCAAGAAAAAAGACAAAGTTTCCTTTCCTGTCACTCTCCATCATATGGTAATAGTTCAGTACTTGTAGCTGAAGAGTATATGCCATTCTTAAAGACTAATGCAATGTCACTTTTCCCCTGTATTGCAGGATTTTATTTTCTGTAGCTCCCTCTATGAATAAAAGGGAAAGGATAAGCAGCAACAGCTAGCATAACTACTGATAGTATCCGCCATCACACGAGCACAGCTTGAGAATTGTAGGGCACTGTTCCAGACACAGGACTTTGAGACATGCCAGCTTTATCCAATTCAATAAATGATTTAATTCACAGTAATTGCAACATCTAGAGCAGACTTCACTAACCCAAGTAGAATTCCTAATTGGACACAGACTTATCCCCCCAGCTAGACAATGCCTACAAAAGCACTATTTAAAACCAATGGATTACAGTCATTCTCATTGTTCCTCTGAAACTGAGGGTGTGAATCGATTTGAAAATCTAAGCTCAATCAATATTTGTGTCATCCAGGATGTTTTTTAACATATATATTATACACAATTATAATTTTATATATAAAATGCAATTATACTGTTACACATAAACATTTGGAGGAATTTTTGCTTCATTTCAAAGGTTTCCAAAATGCTAACCTGGGAAATATTACAGATAAATCATGCAGATAGAGAAGCGTCTTAGTTTTCAAAATTGTTTCAACTGCCTTCATGAAAGATACTTTTTCGGCTAGATTAGGTCAAGAGTTATTGGTGAAATGCCATAACAGAGATGTACAAATATTAGATAACCAGAGAACATTTCAAATAAATATTTCACTACCTCTGCCTTCGCTCCTGTACTCATTGACAACATTTATTTTCATAGTAACTAATGAATTTTACTCTGATGGCACCCAGTCTGCGCACTGAGATACAGAAAAAATGAAGACATTTTAAATAGTAAAACATTAAAACACAGCTGAAGCTCTATAGATTGTTGAGATTTATGATTTTAGCCCAGGGACTGTCACAAGTTAAGTTGCAAATGATCCCAAAAGAAATGGTGTGGATTAAGGGGACATGGAGGGGACTTCCATGACAGTGCTTTCTCACAGTCATTTCACACATGAAGCTGCGCAAGCTCAGTACCAATTTCCTAATGAGGTAATGGAGTCACTGATCACTTATAATCACTAAAAATCTACTGCCACCTTTCATAAGACTGGATAGGGCAAAGAGATTTAAGATTGCAATGCGGTTAATTACATTCAGCCTGCTTAGACTACGCTGCATTTTCAATATTACAGAGTAATATATTTCTGCAAACTTCTGGGTAGTAATTTTAGGCACTAAAAGGAGGGTTTTACTGTGTCAGATGACTACCAGTTGTTACTTACAAGTTGAGGATAATGATAGAATCACAGAATATCCTGAGTTGGAAGGGACCCACAAGGATCATTGAGTCCAACTCTTGGGTCTGCACAGGACCTCCCAAAAATCAAAGTGTATGTCTGAGAGTGTTGTCCAAATGCTTCTTTAATTCCAGCAGGCTTGCTGCCATGACCACTTCCTTGGGGAGCCTGTTTCAGTGGAAAACCACTCTCTCAGTGAAGAAACATTTACTAGTATCTATCCTGAACCTCTCCTTACACTGCTGTTCTCTTGGGTCCTGTCGCTGTCCCCAGAGAGCAGAGCTCAGTGCCTGCTCCTCTGCCCCTGGCCCCATGAGGATGCTGCAGGCCACCATGAAGCCTCCCCTCAGCCTCCTCTTCTCTAGGCTGAGCAAACCAAGTGACTTCAGCTTCTCCTCATACATCGTACCCTCTAGGCCCTTCACAATCTTTGTTGACCTCCTTTGGATTCTCTCTAACAGTTTTATGTCCTTCTTATATTTTGGCACCCAAAACTGCACACAGTACTCCACGTGAGGTGCAGAGGTGCACCTGAGGTGCAGAGCAGGACAATCACTTCCCTCAATTGTCTAACAATGCTAGCTAGTTGTGTTTGATGCACCCCAGCATACAGTTGGCCCTTTTGGCTGCCAGGGCACATCATTGATTCGTATTCAGCTTGCTGTTAACCAGAACCCCTTGATTCCTTTCCATGGAAGCTGTTCTCCAGCCTCATGTCCCTAGTCTGTACATATATCCAGAGTTGCCCCATCCCAGGTCCAGAATCTGTCACTTTCTCTTGTTCAACTTCATATTGTTGGTGACTGACCAGTCCTCTAATCTGTCATGATCTCTTTGAAAGGCCTCTCTCCCATCAAGGGAGTCAACAGCTCTTCACAATTTACAGTCATCTGCAAACTTGCTTAGTATACCTTCAAGTCCTAAATCCAAGCAATTTCTGAAAACATTGAAGAGAACTTGTCCTAAAATGGAGTCCTGGAGAACCCCACTAGTGACTGGCTGCCAGCATGATGTAAACCATTTTACTATAAGCCTTTGAGCCTGACACATCAACTAATCATTCATACATCACATTATGTATTAGTCTAGCTGTATGCTGGACATTTTGTCCAGAAGGATACTGTGAGAATTGGTATTGAAAGAATTGGTATTGATTGGTATTGGATTTGCTGAAATCCAAAAAGATTACATCAACTAACATTCCTTAGTCAACTAGGTGTTAGTTTTGTCATAAAAGGAAATTAAGTTCATTAAGCAGGACCTCCCTCTCATGAACCCGTGTTGGCTATGGCCAATGACTGTGTTGTCTTTCAGGTGTTTTTGTACCAGGGTCTTCTTTCTTGTCCTTGAAAACTGGAATATTTGCCAGCTTCCTGTCAATGAGAACCTTTCCAGATTCCCAAGACAGTTGAAAAATAATTGATATGTCTCACGATGACATCAGCCAGCTCTTTTGAGTACCCTGGGATGATCCCATCAGATATCATACTTACATGCATCCAGCTGGAGCAGCAAATTCCACACAGTCTCAGACCTGGCTGGGAGATTATCATTACTGCAGTCACGGTCCTCCAACTCAGGGCTCTGCTGGTCCCAGGGCCCATCATCTGTGTTGAATATAGAGGCAAAAAAAGGTGTTAAGCATCTCTGTTTTGTCTACATCCTTATTTGTGAAGTGACCATCCTCATTAAGTAATGGACCAATGTTATCTCTGGTACTCCTTTTCCTGTCAAGATACATAAAAAAGCCTTTTTTTTTTTTTTTTCTGTCCCCCACAGTACTGGTCAGCTTCAACTCTAATTGAGCTTTGGCAGCCTGAATTTTCTCCCTACTATGGTGAACAGCATCTCTGTAGCCCCCCCATGTTGTCTGACCTCATTTCCAGTGGTCATACATTTCCTTTTAATGCCTAAGTTTTAGAAGAAGATCCCTGCTTAGCCACACCAACCAGCTTGACTACCTACCTGCTTGACTTCCAACATTTTGCAATTGCCTGTTCCTGTGCTCTTAAGATGTGGTACTTAAAAAGTCACCAGCAGTGACTGACCCCAATGCTTTCAAATGGAGTTTCCCAGGGGACCTTACTAACTAGTTCCCTGAGCAACCTGAAGTCTGTTCTCCCCATATCCAGGGCTGAAGTTTTGGTGGTAGTTTTCCTTCTATCACCTTCTATCAAAGATTTTAAACTCGACTTCAAACGTAAATCTTTTAATAATTGGCCACATGTTAATATCAGCCTTATTTTTAGGGGACCAGAGCTCTCAAAATTAGTAAGTCCTGATACATTTTGTAAAAATGGGCTGTAGGACAGCAGAAAGCAACTCTATTAGCTCTTCATTTAGGGTGATGATGGAGTATGATTTGAGTCTTTGTTAACTACAAGAAAATACACAACAGAGCTCAAGCTTGAGACATAAACCTATGGGAATCAAGACCTTGTTAATGTCACTATAAGTAGAATGAATTTCAGTAACAGTTAGAGACTTCTAATATGTATGCATGAAGTTGGGAGTTCTGGAGCCAATATTATTATAGTAATAATCTTTTCTCCTTGTGATTAAAAATAAGAAATGTGAATGCAGATAATTTAAATAGGACATTGAGAACATGATTGCTTGGGAAACCTGGGATTACAGCAAGAAAAGAACAAAAACTGTAGAGGAAGAGAGAGGATAAATGAAATAAACTTTTATTGTGTGGATTAATATAAAAATAATCTTACATAAACCTAATAAAAATACTGAAAACTGAAAAGAGAATTAGTAACTTAGTATGATAACATGTTGCATGTTGGAGGTAATGTCACATGATAGTAGACCAACTAGCATGTGACATTCTTTATTTGAATTTCCATAAAGCAAGCATTGCTTTTAACACTTCAGTTCTGAAAGTCTAATACTTCACAGTCTTTCTTTCAGTGTATGTAAAATTATGTCTGCATATGTCTTTATTTGTTGATAAGTATTAGAGCATACTGAATTTGTGTGCCATCTGTGCATTTTCTTACTTTTTCCATCCATGCTGTTTGGAAAGATTAAAGGGAATGAGTACAAAAAGGTAAGATACTGGATTATTGTTAAGGTATGATATTCTTTAAAGAAGCAAGATTTACCACAGAAAGCAGGATTACAGTTGACTGAGGGACTTGGAATTGAATTGAGGAAGGGTGTGTATAAGTATGCGTTTATGAATTTGGATTCAGTGGGACAAATTCGTATGTTCAGGATTATAGTGGATTCAGAGCAGTGTTTGCATATCCACATTGCCTCATATTTCAGTGTTGTAAAACCCTTACAACTCATTTCCTACCACACAGCTCTGATAAAAACAGCTCAATATGGTTGGAATGTAACAGATGAGAAGAGTGGTTTTTAAAGGCTTCTTGCTGCAGATTAAGCAGGAGAACAGCAGCTTTTCATCTATTCCTTTGTAGATCTGCAGTGAAGAATTTCAGGGAATGTACTGGGTCTGGCTGGAATGTTAACTTTCCCTGCAGCAGCCCATACAGTGCCGTACTCTGCACTTGTAGCTGGAACAGCAGTGGTATCACACCAGTGTTGTGTCTGCTGCTGAGCAGTGCTGGCACAGCATTGGGCCTCTCTCTAACATTCCTAGGGGGTGGGCAAAAAGTGAGAAGAGAAACATCACCAGGGCAGCTGACCTAAACCAACCAAAGGGATATTCCATACCATATGATGTCACACTCAGCAATAAAAGGTGGAAACAGGAAGAAGAGGGGAGGGGTGGGCTCTCATTGGGAAAACGTCGGTCCTCCTCCTGAACACCAGCTACCTGTGTTGAGGCCCTGCTTCAAGGACGTGGTCAATTTGTGGGAAGTAGAGAGTAATTTCTTTCCTCTGCACTTCCACATAGCCATCATTTGTTTTATTTGTTTGTTTTCCTCCTTTTTTTTTTTTTTATTTTCCCTTTCCCCCTCCCCTTTTCCCTTTCCCTTTTTATTTCCCTTTAGTTAAATAGTTTAGTTCATAATAATCTTTCTTTAATTATTATTATTATTTCCCTTTAATTAAATTATCCTTATCTCAACCCGTGAGTTGTTCTTTGCTTTACTTCTCCCCCTCCTCATCTAAGGAGGGGGAGTGAGAGAGCGGTTGTGGTGTTTAGGTGTCCAGCATGGTAAAACCACCACAGGGAAGGATATAGATTTAGTGACAAACAAGTGAAGTGGTTAGAACCCCTTGGTCTAATGATATTTTTTTTATTTTTTTTTAATGGAGTTTATTCCAAATCGTAGTCCAATCATTTATTTGTTTAAGCAGTTTCCACAGTAATTGGCTGTAGCAAACACACAAAGTCTTATATGGCTGGTATGATCACTCTGCTATTAATTTATAAAAATAAATCACAACTTAGATGTCACTTTGCAATCCCATATAGGGAATTGATATCCAGCTGGAAAATATGCTGGTTTACTTTTTTTTTTTTTTTCTTTTCGTAAAGCAGTAATGCAATTCGTTTTCAAGGTTGACCAAAACCCCAAGACAGCATAACAGCATCAAGACTGGTTAGCACAAGCTAATACTTTGGGTCCTTATTGTTTCCAGTGTGGAAAATGGCTTTTGGTGAACTGTACATCACAGAGATCTTCAGAATACACACACAAAACATAGGCTATATCATTGGATATCTTTCCAATATAAGGTTATTCCCTGTTTTTAAATTCCTGAAGCTGTATTGATATTTTCTCAAAAACTGGCAACAAACACCTTCTAGAGCTGTTTGGAAGACAAGAATTTTCCATTTTCATTATCATTTAGAGGTTTTGGCATTTGTTTTGTCTGCTGTTTTTGGAAGAAAAAAGTGAATTTGAGCAAAAATTGAACTGGAAAATATTTTCCCTTCTTAGGAGAAATAAAAAAAAAAAAAAAAGAACAGCCCCACCACTGCAATGCATATTGAAGGACAGACAGAACAATTGTGCCACTGAGGGGGACTAAGGTTCAAATCCTAGCTTTGTCTCTTGCGACCATCTAGTTCACTGCCATGTACTCTGGACTACAAAATTAACCTGTTGTCCTTATTAATAGATTTTAAATTATTTAAATATTCAACAAAACCAACAACAGTTAAGAACAGCTTTTCTAAAGTAGCATTGTCCAAGCCTCTTAAAATACCTTCACAACCACCATAATCAGTGTTTTCCCTCAATAACACTATAACATCCACAAAACATCCACAAACTCTTTATTTGTATATATAAAATAAACTGAACTTCATAAAACCACTAAAACTGGTAAAAAAAAAAAAAAAAAAAAAAAAAGATAGAAATATCCATTATTGGCAGAACATTTTTCACCAAATAATAGCTCTATTTTTGAGTATATTTGTTTCAGGGAAACAAATCTTGCACATCTGGAAAACTGACATTTGTTATTCTGTTAGATAATGAAACATACTGACTTGAAATACTGTTTTTACACTTATTACAATCTTTTCCCCTATGTGCTGATCTCTCTCTCTGTCACATGCATAACAAAATACTCCTCTCCTACAAAAAAGCAACTATTTTTTATCTCAATTCAAATAAATTATCAGTCCAAACAAAATCATATAAAATATCTAAAAGCATATATTTAGCTTTAAGTTTCATGTTTTGACAGACCAAATGAGATGATTTTGCTTTCAGTAGCTTGTTTCTTGTTTCCAGCTATTTCTGTTGGACCAAGAAGGTATTTATTACCTGTCCCTGTTACACTTGCCTTTTTTTTTTCCTCAGAGCATTAGATACATTTCCTACCATTAGGCTGTATTTTTCATTCTTCAATTCAGTCTCTGATTGTAAGCAACAAAATTGAAATCTACTGTTTGAGGTAGAGTATTTTTTGTTATAGAATCATAGAATCACAGAATAGTTTTGGTTGGAAGGAACCTTAAAGATCAACTAATTCCAACTTCCCTGCCATTCCCTGCACACTAGACCAGGTTGACCAAAGCCCCATCCAGCCTTGAACAGTTCCAGGGATGGCTAATCCACAGCTTCTCTAGGCAACCTGTTCCAGTGCCTCATCACCCTCTGAATATAGAATTTCTTTTCCTGGAAGGCCGATAGCTTTCCTGTAGCTGTTAGAAGTTCCAGTCAGGTGGAAGATACTAAAAAATGTTATGTAACTTTTCTTCTTAGTAATTCTTGTGGTCTTGGCTACATAAAATAGTCCAAAAATTTCAAAATAAAGCCACCTGCCCATTCTGCTACTACTCCAAAGATGCTGTTGTCAGGTGTCTCTCCATGTCTCACTGCATGTGACATGCTGTTGCTCAGAAGGCACCCAGTCAACACCATTTTTTGACACAGAATGGACAAACGGACGTAAGTGAGAGAGACTGGAAACAGTAGGTCATTAACAAAGGTGACTGGGTAAAGATGTACCTGAAAGGATTGGTGTAAGGAATGTAAATCATGCCATTTTGTTTACATTGACCTATAATTCAAGAGTAGAGGAAAAGAAGTACAGTTAAAAGTCAGAAAAGTTGAAATTGATAAAAGGGCAATGATATTTCAGTCAATGTCAAATACATCTGCCTGTTATATGTATTTTTCACAGATAAAAAGAATGAAAGTAACAGAATTTTTCATTATTCTGTTAGAAGGTATAACTGAATATGCACCATAAATAACTATCTTGAGTAAAATATATATCAGTTATTAATAGAAGTTATTTTTAATGGTTAAAAAAAAAAAGATATATCACACAATGCATAGTTAGTATGAATGGAGAACACTAAATATAAAATATAAAATATAAAATATAAATTAGATTTAATGTAAAAATCCTTTAATTTACTTGTTTCTGGACATAAAATGTTCAGGATAATGAACAGACGGTAATAACCAGTCAAGATAATGATGGTTTGCATATACTTATTTGCAGGTAAGTAGAAGTACTGTATGTGAGAAAACAGAGGATTAGATCCCATTTAAAAAGAAAAAAAAAAAAGTTAAAAAAATCAGAATTATGAATTCAAACAGAGATAAAAAAACACTTGCTCTCTAGTGCAATTGAAATAAAAAGTAGACTGCCATAGACTTTATGAGGTCATAGAATCACTCTCCAGCATCTCATCACCCAGTCTGTAGGTATAGCCAGGGTTGTCCCATCCCAGGTGCAGGACCCGGCACTTGTTCTTGTTAAACTTCATGCAGTTGGTGATTGCCCAGCTCTTCAATCTGTCCAGATCTCTCTGCAAGACCTTCAACAGTCAACAACTCCTCCCAGTTTAGTATCACCAGCAAATTTTCTCAAAAATCAAACTTGTTTCAAAAATTTTTTAAATTTGTTTCCAAGGACATCCAGTCCATTCTCTTACCCTAAGCAAGATTACATAAGAGCAAACTTCAGTCTCATATCTCTTAAATGTTTGTCTAAATTGCTCTTTAAATATCCTGATATATAGTAAAAGACTTCACAGCTTCTTTTATTGAGCTAATGTAGCATTTCACTATCTTACCATACCCACCCTAATTCTATTGAGACAATTCAAACACATCATGTCTTGTCCTGTTCATTGTGACTACTGTCACGTCCCTCCATATTCTTCTCTTCACTAGACTAAACAAGCCCAAATCTTTCAATCTTTTCTCACAAGTCTTGTGTTCTGGACCTCTAATAATTCTGTTTGTTCACCTCCAGATTGTTGCCAATTTGTACAGACATTTCTTGAACTGTTATCTGCCGTTTGCTGGACATACTATCTTAGTTGAACTAGCTGAACTTTTACTCTTATGGAGAAGTATTACTTCCCATATCTTATAAAGCACACCCCATTTATACATCCTGTAAGAGTACTTTTTTTTTTTTTTTTTTGTAGCAGTGTTTATTAGCTCAATCACATTAAAATTCCCTTTTGTAGGACTACTGTCTGCTCAGTTGTTTCAGACCTTGTATTTATCCCCTTGACTGTTCTTATCAAAGTACAGCATTTACTCTTCCTCATCTTTTTCTTCTAATTGGAACATTTATTTAAATTCTTGAGTTAAGGGAAAAAATAAAAATAAAAACAAAATCAAAAACAAAAACAACAAAAAAGAAACAAGCATTTTCTGAATTCAAAAGACAAGACGTTCCAGTCCAAAAGAGGAATTGCATACACAGTGATGGAAAGAGAGAAAAAAAAAAAAAAAGATTAAAAAAAAAAGTTACCATATAGATGCAATTTCACAGATGATAGATGCAATTTCACTACTCCAAAGTTATCATTAACACAATCTTTACTCCACTATTACAAATGGCTATAGTAAAGTGACCCAAGGTATGAATTACTTCATTTTGTCTACATTTGAATCTTGACATAGTAAAAAGAATCAATGACTTCTAATTTCTCTTTTGGAAATAAAAATACAAATATATATGCTTATTATGCATATGAATTAATAGAAGGTCTTCGGAGAAAGGTAGATTTTTTGTCTTGTCAGAAAGTAAGAAAGAAAGGTCAGAAAAAGAAAAACATTTTCTTGATTGCCTGTTATGTTTTAGAGTAAAAAAATGTAATTGTCTTCAAATAAATGAAAAAATCCAGATCACCAAAAAAACACTTCAATCACAAGTCATTTTTCTTAAAAAAAATGATTTGTTCCATTGTCAGCAGAACACACAAATCCAAATTCCCTGGAATTCTAAATTTTGTGGTTGAACTGTCCTCTGAATTACAAATTTTGGCCAAAGCATGTTTTGTGGCTAGAGCCTTACTTCCAGTGCCTTACTGCTTAGTTGTTGCTCTGGTTTCAGATATTATATTTGAGCTTGTGCACCAGGTTTTCACTCAGTAAAGTCTACTTTGGTTCTACTGTTCCAAACACCAATTTATTGTATTTTGCAGTTTAGTCTTTGAAAACTGCAGTGTCAAATTTAACTGAAATAGGAAAGGGGTTTCAAAGGCATATTCTGTTCAGAGGGGAGAATAACAGATATCAAAAATAGTTGTTAACATCAATCTTGTTTTTATAGGAAATTAAGGTAGAAAGCCTGTTGCTTTTTGTCTACTGTTAAGTGTCTTCCCACAAAATATAAGCTGCTTTGTTCAGGTTTTCTAGAGATAAAATCCTTGGGATCCAAAGAAAGGTTGTAAAAAAAAAAAAAAAAAAGGTTCCCGTGGGTCAAAGAGAGATTGTGTAAAAATTCTACTAGCACTGAGACAAGGGGTAAAAATGAAAATTGAAATTTCATGCTTAATTGCAGCTGGCATTGGTGAAATCCACTCTCCTAATTCACTCTGCAGCAATGAAAAAGACATTACAATTACACTACCATTTAATTAACAGTGGCAATAATACAGAAAGCAACAATTACAAACACATTAGAATTTGAGCCAGCCAAATCTTTTATGTTTTCAAATCTAATTTATTTACACATTTCCCCTCCTAATATAGAACTATTTAGAAGTATTAAATTTCAAAAGAAAACTGTGCAAAAACACTGGAATATGCTATGAAAATTTATGAGATCTCAGCCTAGGTGATATCTATGGTCATATATCTGAAAAGTGAAGCAATGTCCTGAGAGTCAATTTTCAGTTCTGACGGTGTTTTTTTTTGTTTGTTTGTTTTCCCTAGAAAGGAAACAACATGCAGCCCTTCTCTTTTCCCTTCAAAACCAAAGAATTTACAGGGTATTAATTATATATAATTCCACTTAAAATACGTCTCTGTGAAAAAGGATTATAAAAGGAGGGAAGGGAAATAAGCCAGCAAAATTATATCTGATATTTGTAACTGATCATTAAATTGTTGATTTTTCCTACCTTCTTGGTTTTCCAAGGTTCCCTCTGCCTTTCCTTCAGAAATTCTTTGCATTGTTGCAACAGCAGTTCCTAGTTCATTATTTCAGGCTTAGGCATCCAGTCCTTTTAAATGGGGGTTCCCTCAATCATTTTCTGGTCATGCAAGTAACCTTCTTCTCAAATATATATATATTTTTAATTTTCTTCTCTCTCTCAAAAGCAAATCCACCAGTATTATATTTCCCTATCAGAGAACAAATATATGAATTAGAAATTCTTCCTTCTTTCCCCCACAGCAGCCCATTGATTTCATGCACACTTTCTCAGAAAATCCAGCAGCTTCACATTCTCCCTGCCCCCAAAACCATTGAGTTTCCCATTCCCACAGTCTTCTCCGGCACCGCTGAACACACCATGCTTGTTATTTCCAAGGACTCAATAAAAAGCACAGAAGCTGGGTGTCTTCTCTGGCAGCTCTTCCTTATAACAGCACCAGCATGACAGTGGCAGCAGATGGGCTGCCTAGCAAGCCTGAGTTAACAGCACAATGTGACAAACCAGTCTTCTTGTGGGCTCCAATATTTGGCTGGTTGGCAGGCTAGGAAGTGGTAGAATCCAACCTCCCTCTCTTCTGTACATTAAATAGGAAAAAAAACCCTTCCCCTCCCTCACAGTTTTCAGAGCGAGACAGGCTTAAAGACTTTCACGATGTGCAGACAATATAGACAGCCCCATTCTCCTTTTTTAAACTAGAGAAGGGAAACACTTCCCACTTCTAATTCACCTACCTTTCCATGACTTGCTGGAGACGTGATTCCTGCTGTATACATCTGCCTCTCCTGCTTACAGTGTGTGTGCGTTTGTGCATGTGTGTGCGTGTGTTAGTTTCTGTGTGTGTGTGTGTATTAAAACTTCTCAAGCCTTTTGGAGATGTTTGTTTGAAAATAATAACTTCTATCATGATACCTGGACTGCAAGGAATTAGTGAATTTCTAAGTATTCTATTTTTTTAAAGTTGTTTTCTTGCTTGATTTATTAGGTTCAGCCTTCTAAATATATATATTTTTTAAATGTTACTAATTGAAACTTGTAGAACATATGGATCATATCTTTATGTTCCATATAGAAACATAGAGCATATGGACCATATGGAAATCAGTTCATGCAAGTCAAAGAGAATAGGTGTTAGTGAATTTGACTGCAAGCATTATAATGAAAGAAAAGCTCTTTCATTTCTCAACATATCAGAAACAAACTGAAGATTACTATTGTCAATGTTATTTTGGAGAAAAAATTCCCAAATCTGTCCTTTAATATCTTTACAAAGTAATTAATTTGTGATGTGTTTGATTATTTAAATATAAGGTATGGAACTACAAAATAAATAGGGTTCTATATTATGTTTATAAATATAACTTAACTATGATTTATGTCACAATAACACTAAATACTTATAACAGGAAAAATGATTTTATTTAGAGAAGTACCCTAAAATAAAAATAACTGAATGCTTAAAATAGCTGATCTGTTAAATACCAAATTGCTCTTTTCATAGGAAATATGCTCAAATTCTGATACACTGACACACCATAAAATAGTTATAACCTAATCCTTGTGGACTGGGTGCTAACAAGGCTTCTTGTCCCGCTCCCCTTTGGCAAGAATTAAATACTTCTTCCATCTAAAAGCAAATCTCCTTTTCCTACATATTTGCTATCAGAGCTGTGTCTCACTAGGCCTTTGACATCACAAATCCAATTTCTTTCTATTCTTAACTGAAATTCATATGTATGGGTATTAGGAGTAGTAAAACTACACATATTCTTCCTCTTCCTGTTCTCATCTCTTAAAATATCCAGGTCTCTATTGTCCAGAGGTAGCTGTTTTTTTTCCCTGCTTCTAACCCCATACAGAAGAGAACTAACTGCCTTATGTTTGTGAGCTCATTGATACCTTGCATATGTGTAGCAAAAATACCATGTTTCGTGTTAGCTCACTTATCTGTGTCCCCTGTTCCCCCACAGAACATTTTAACTCTATGCCCATTTCAGTTGCTATCACAATGGTGGACAAACTGTGGAGAGGTGAGTTTTGAAGGCAGTACATGTGTGGAACCATGGGGTGGACAGTGTTCTACCTCAATAGAAGAGGTACAGGAAAACCAGAATTGACCCTATTTTTGCATTACTTGTAGCTGCTAGAAACCCCCATTTTTCCTCAGTTAACATCTCTTTGCATCAGTGAGACTTAAAACTGTAACAATACACTTTCCAAATGAAATCCATCTGCAAAGATTAGTATTTTTGCGTAGACACTGCTCAACAGTTTGCTTATGCTAGTTACCCATTACCCATCTCTGTTATCTTTAATGGGACAAAACTGAATGCAAGCTGAAAATTTTCACCTTCTGTGGCAAGCCTAAAGAGAGAAGGAAAAGTCCCTTCAAAAAAACTTCTGAATTGGAGGCAGGAGAGATGTTACAAGGTCTTTCAAATGTAACATCTCAGATAGGAAATGATAGCTAGCTGATTATACATGACGTGGAACCAGCCTTGTCTTGTGTCTTTTTTTCCAAGCTCTTCTGTAATGCTCTTGGAGAGGTATGAAACTGCGCTTCTTTCAGAATGGGTCATCATGTCCAAGCTGACAATGGATTTTGCTGCAAGGAATATTTCTGTGTTCCATATTCTGCATTAAGATCCACATGAAGAGCAGCACCTCAAAACACCAGTTGACTGCTGTGCCACATCAGAGCTGTCCTGCTGCACTCACATGTTTTATAAACTGTGAGTGAACTTGCTCACCATGACATAAGGTTTGCAGGGAGAAACTTCAGTTACTCTTTTTAAAGCTCCATGTCCATGTCAGAGCAGGAGTCTTATGTCAGACTATGGTTTTATTCTGTCTTAGAAATCTTTTTTTGTTTGTTTGGTTGGTTGTTGTTTGTTTGTTTGCTTGTTGGTTTTGCTTGTTTGTTTCCAGAAAATTATTTTCCAGAAAGTTAAGTGACTTGACTGCAGGCAGACAACAATTCTAGAGCAGTGCAGGAAAGTACTTTTATAGCTCGGTCCCTGAATAACTGCACTCACTTAAAACAGCAGGAATAAGAACAATTGTTCAACATACACAGTGTCCCAGTGGTGAACCTCACTTACACAGGTGACAGTTATGCTAAAAGATTGATAGAGTACATGGAATGTGATTTCATGAGAGCTGGTACCATGACAGACCTCAGCATCCAGTGCCATACTCCTAGCTTTTGACCATCCTTCTGCAATATGAACCTAGGGCACTACTTACTTTTTTATAATTATTAAAAAAAAAAAAAAAGAAAAAAAAAAAGCTCTTCAGACAAAATCCTTTGAACACAAAACATGAGAAAATATGCTGCATTTTCTGCAAGAGAGAACTCTGGAGAAAGGACACAACTGAGTCTAATTGTTTGGATGGCAGGAAAACCCTCAGAAAAAGTGGTAATGAAAGCCTGTGAATGCTAATCTGAATATTTTAAATAAAGTTTGTCATTGGTAAATCAATGCATTGATTGAGATGACAATAATTTAGACTTCTCTTAAAATATTGATTTTCCACTTCAACTTTTATGTGAGCTGCCTGTTTTATGGGGTCTCCCAACTCAATGTATTGCTGCATGAAAATCAAGAAGCATTTAGCATAATGAAAGCAAAGTTTTAGGCTGCTACTGTCTGGTTACTTTTCCTGTCCCCTGTCATTTCCCTGCCCTTTTGCTTCACAAGCATGGCACAGATTTTCCTATTTACAGCTTTGTTGGGATTGTACTTTGTCAAACATGTATCTCAAGCAACAGTTTCACTTACCAGATCCCCAAAGGTGCTTAGTCAGATAATGTGTATCCACCTTCATGTTTTGCTTTCCAAGCAATATTTATATTCACTGCTTCTGCTCTCAAAGTGAGCTCAAAAGAATCCTACAGTAAAAAGGGCCATTGTCCATCTCTTGTCTAATAGTGATGACTTCAGTGGATGAAGATCAGGACACTTCTGCAAACTAGTGCATATTTGGAGAAGATTATAATCTAAAAATATAACTCAGAAAAGATTTACACCTGTGCTTCATTTTATGCATGTAGACACTCAAAGAAATCAATGGGATTATTCATATACCTAAAGTTAAATGCACCCATTAATCTCTGTGAAGTTATGACCTAAGGGTCCAGTCTTGTATTTATCTTTAATATAGATTTTAGTACTAGAGGTAATTTCACTGATGACTTGAATATGCTCACACATAGTAGTATGTCATATTCATGGCTGCACCTATCTGGTCAATCATGTCCTTAGATAATAGGTGAAGTGGTTTAAAAGATAAAACTTTAACTTTTATTTTTTTCCCCAGTAACCCCATCCAGCTTGTAGTCCTTTTTACTTATGTTTTAACCATAAAAAGGCAGAAAATATTCCTTAATACTGAGTTAATCCATTTCTTAACTCTTTCAACAGGAATCCTCATTCCATAAACTGTGGTTTTTAACTTTAGTTTATGAATAAATTATTAGTGATAGATAATTTTCCACCTTACCACTGCTTGTACTAGATCAGATTTGTTTTTTTTAATAAGTCTGTTTTAGTGTTCCCCTTTTCACAGAAATTTTCATTTCCCGTACCCTAGCAAATATAATATACCCTCATGTAACTGCATCATGCAAAATTTTTTGACTATTTGACATTTGTTGTTATATTTTATATTCAAGCATCTTCATCTGAATATAACTGGGCTAAATGGAGGGCTGAGCCCTATTTTTATGGTTGTGTGACTATTTCTTCTCTCCTAGAATTTCAAATTGTATTCACTACTATTCATTACTTCTCACTAAAGATATAACAAAAAATATTTATTTTATACTTACTGCATTTTTCCTAAAGTTTGCAGTCATCTGTCTTAAAAGTCTGAAGTTTGCACTACATTTATTAAATCTGCTTATCTTCAAAGAATGCATCGATCACCTTCCTTTGAATGACTGTTATCTGATTTTTTCTGTCTTCCACACGCTAATTTTGTGAACCTGAACAATGTTTTTGTTAATGAGCTTCTTTATTAATACTGATTCTTCACTCTATCATTGAGTTTCAGCACAATATATTCTTAAATAATTCAATAAAATTATATTGATAAGGAAACATCATAAAAATAGAGGAAGAAACCACATCAATTTAACTTAAATGATTTGGAACCCCGATTCTGTTCTCCTTCATGAGCCTCTCCTTTCCCCTCTCTCCTTCCCTCCCCCCATGTATTAACAAGCATCAGTAGGATTTAATTTTATGGCTTTAATGGGTTTACAATGTCAGAATCAATCTTTACAAAATATGTTCAGATAGATGGAAGCTGGAACAAATGCAATGGTTTAAATTTATCATTACCTCTCAATCATTGTATATTGCTCTGAAAAACACATAGAAACTGTAACTTGAATTTAATGAATTTATAGATATCTATATGTGCTTGGGCATATAGAGTTC